ATAATATAGTATACATAGTTTATAGTTATATTAAATATAGTTTAATAATAATATTTTATTTATATTTTATTCTTATTATATACACGTTTTATCTGTCTATATATTTTTTGTAATAATCTTGTATTAAATAAGTCAAGCAATTTTGAAAACACTCTTTAGAAATAATTATATAATTTGTTAATAAAAGTAAATCAATTATACTATCTATCTTAAAAAATTTATAATAGTTAAATATTAACTAAATAAATCAAATGTTAATTAATAAGGATATTAATTTAATAATAAATTCGTTGTTCGAGATTAATTATTTATTTACATTACTTCAACATTAAATAAATAATGTTATAGTCATAACTGTTATGAACTGCTTACACTTTACAAAATAGTTCTTTAGTACAAATGGGACAAAAATGATATAACTATTGAACACAATGATTAAACTAAAATATATATTAATGACTTTGCTTTTGTACACCCCAAAACTTCTTTTTTTCGTCTTTTTGTCACCTTGCTCGACTTGTCTATCCTTTTTGTCTTTCCACTCGCTTTCCTTACTCATTTCACACACTCGACATTCCAAAAAAGATTAATAATACATGCATCGATACAGTAGAGATCGATTGTTCCTGAGCACTCCTTCATCGATTTTCGTTTATTTGCACTTTTAACTCATACACTCACATTTTGTTATTTCATTCAATTTATTGTTATATTTTTGTTATTTCTATTCCTGTGTTTATTTTTTATATCAGCTCCTAAGATTCATAAGTATTCGCTGTACATAGTTACCTTGCACAAACATTATTTCCCAATCCATTCTTTTCATTTCAATGCCTAAAAACCTGGTTGGTTCTTCTCCAGCTTTTAATTTGAACTCATATGCCAGTTTTGTCAGCATGTTTCTTATTTCTCCTAAATTAACTTCTACAAGTATTCCATCATCCATGTATATTACCATCATGTATATTACTATCCTCTTTTTTAAAAAAATACTTTGTTTAATTGCCTCAATCCTTCTTCCATAAATATCTTTGTAAATTTTTTATTCCACTATATCGAGGCCTGTTTTAGGCTATATAAGGCTTTCCTAAGCTTACATACCTTTTCTGCTTCACCTTTAAAGCTTTTTGGTAGATACATATAAACAACTTCAATCTTTCCATGTAAGAATGCCATTTTTATGTTGAACTTTACAGCATGGTACTTCTTCAAGGCAGTTACAACTAAAAGAATTCTCAGAGTATCATAATTAACATAAATGGACTATATAGTTATATATAAGTAACATAATTGGACTATATATAAATGCTCATAGTTAAAGCTATCTTTACTTTGTTCACATTACCTAACTATTAGTCTAACCTTATATCATTCATCTTTTTTGACTATAAAGACCCATTTGTTAGTAAGAACTTTCTTTCCACCTGTTTCTTATTTGTCTATCATGTCCCATGTTTTGTTCTTCAGCAATGACTGATGTGTGTGACTGATTTCTTCCCAGATGGCTTTTAATCCCTTCTGCTTCTCTTGTTCACTCATTTCTTGATAAGTTAGTACATTGTAGCAGTGATACCTTTCAAGAAGTTTTCTGTTTCGCTTTGGTCTTGCTGTACTTTCTTCTTGTTTTCTTCTCTCTTCTATGTTTTTGGTCTTTTTTTGCACTAATTCCTCGTCTTTAGTTCTTTCTTCTCTCTCTTCTTCCTCTTGACATTCACTTCCTCCAGTTAGCACTTGTTCTTCATCCATATCAACATCATCTCATTTTGCAGTTCTCTCATTCGCCATGCAATTGATTTCAAATACTATATTCTTTGACATCACGATCCTCCTCTTGTCCCAAAATCTATATGTATTTACTTTAAACCACATAAATGTATACATAGCACTCCATTTTTCTAATTTATTTAGAAGTCTCATCTTTTTTGCGTACATC